ATCGTTCATTTCAACAAAATAACAACACATAGCGAAATACATAGCCTTAGAAACTGTCCTTTATAAATATAAAATCATTTGTTTCTCGAAGCCCCTTAAGGAAGAATATTTTATGGAGAGAGCGCAAAACTCGATTTCTTTCTTTTTTTTCTTTTTACTCACGAAATCAGATACCGTGGCGAAGCTGACACATTTTAGTCTCGTATCTCCGTTCGCTTATCTATTAGTTAAGGGCGTATGCGCGTTGCACACGTATCGATACGTGTCGATCCTCAACATCGTTCACTATTCTTGCGCATTTCGCGCGTCGATTTCTCTTTGTGTCGCTATTATATTCTAAGGTTTATTACATGGTATATACTTGTTAAAAACAACATAATACTTCATCATTGTGTCGCCAACTGTTGTATGCATAAACATTAATACTATTTCGCAGTATGTATAAATATATACTACTGAAAGATCGATTTAACGTCGGGCGAACCACGTAACAATCGTCGACTTATACGTTAGTTTGACGACTCCTTTTTCACGGGAGAACTTTCCGATCGGGATTATCTCATTCCGCCGATCATCTCAACTGTAACTAACATGTCGATGAGATATACAATAACATGAGATATACAAAAGGTATATTATTTAACGTTGAAGGCGCTTCTTATTGATTATTAGTCGTTAGTTGTGCGTATTTTTTGATTTTCTTCCGTATACAAACACTTGGCGATGGAGTGGAAAATTGTGAGGGATGCGGCATATATCGAAAAGTACTGATCGTCGTTATTATGTGTCGAATGATGCGTTACACAATCGCTAACGTAGTCAGTAGGATTATTACTGTGCCTGTGGAATGCGCAAGAAATATTGTCAATTCCTGCCTCTCTTATGTGATTCCGTAAGGCGATAGACGCGAAGTGGAGAAACAAGAAGAAGAAGAGAAAGAAAAACAAAGAGAAAGAGCACGTGTGTTCATTCAAGACATTACGCGAATCTTTTCTACTGAGATTTAAATGTGTCAGTTTGCTCGCACAATTACAGATATTTTCCGTTGAAATCACTCGAAACAGCAATTAAACGCCGTTCCTAAAGATAGATAATAATGGAAATCATGGGACTAACATACTTGAGCGTATCACAAAGGAATAATTAAGATTTAACACGAATATAAGATAAAGTAATAACGCGCCAACACTAATTGCAAACGAACATGGTGGGAAACAATTATCGTCATTGGGTTTCATGCATGTGCACGCATTCGCGAGTATGGAATAACGGTGACGATCGACCATCAGCGAGTCGATAAAATTGCGGAGTCCCAGCGTCGCTATGATATAAGCCAGAGCTCGGAATTAGTTGCCCATTTCGGCCGATTCTCGGGAGCTACGTCTTCTATCTTCCCCTTGCCGCGAGTGGGCCCCAAAAGTGACGTTCGAGCCTCCAAGCTTGAAGCCGCGACTGGCCGCGATCGTCATTTTCGTAGCCCACTCGCGGCAAGGGGAAGATAGAAGACGTAGACGAGAATCGGCCGAAATGGGCAACTAATTCCGAGCTCTGATATAAGCTATCTTATAAGCGACTTGAGATTCTGAACTAGTGCATACAAATAAAGGAAAATCGATCGACAATTTCAAAGAACAAAAGTAGATCGTTAAAATATATTAAAGCGTACTACTGTTATACAACGTCATCGACATTCGAAAAAGAGCAAAGGAAAGGTGCGAAACGAAATAGAGTTTTCCCGAAATTCGTAGCCCTGAAACGATTACTGGCTAAGAACCTAATATGCTAATTGCAGCAATTTGCTGTGTGAAAGAAATTTCAGAATTTACGAGATGAACGAACGAACATTTCTCGTTTCATTGTATCCTTGCTAACAGTCTGGAGATTCCTACTACTGTAGGTGCAATTTGATTGATAGAAGACCGAAGAGATTTCGTTTTCGAGAAACCCAACGCTTCCTCATTAAGATATGTCTTGTCTCCGGGTGCGGAACAGAGTAAATCTTCTTCGCGATGATCAACTATCTCGGGTGCTCGCGATAAGATCTTGCACGGTATTTTACAATCTACTTATTAGTACATGTTATACAAATATATAAAATTCGTAACGTTTTCTTCTCGTTCTGCCGAAGTTAATTGCACGTATTGCCAATATAACACGGACGGTTAACGATAAGTTAACAATAAGAGTTGGACCGTTTTATGAAGAGGCAGCGCGATGTCACGACACAGCGTCGCGACATCGTCATTCGTTAATCGATGCGTAAAAACCCAGGTGTGAGACGTGTAAATGGGATCCATTCCAACGTTGAATTTGTGTCCGGTCCGGTTACTCGGACGGCAACTTAAACTACGGAATTATATCGCGACAAAGAAGATTACGCTAGCTAACAATAATTATCATCATTACTAACGTCCCTCATCGTGAGAAAATCTTATTTCGACAAAAATTTGCTGCTTGGAGAATGTTTAGTCTCTCCCAAAGTACATACCGAAAATATATATGTGTGTGTGTGTATTTGTATATATATTGTCGCAATTAGAACTTCCAAATATATTGCTTGATTCTAAAAGATTTATCTAGGTCGGACGTCGTTTGTATCCGTAATGTATTTACTAATTGTTTCGTAATTGCTATTTTGCGCGAACGCAAATTTGGCAAAGTGTGGAAGGAACATCTGAGCATGAAACGTCCTAAATCAATCGTTACGTTTCCGTGCGTTTATACGCGCGAAAGAGAGAGAGAGAGAGAGAGAGAGAGAGAGAGAGAGAGAGAGAGAGAGAGAGAGAGAGAGAGAGAGAGAGAAGGAAAGTGTGTGTGTTTGTGTGTATTATGTACCATGCTAATAATTTGCTAATAATTACAATTTATCACACAAAAACGCCTATACATTTAAGACGAAAATTATTATTTCGTTAAAGCAAAGAAATAATTGAAATACGCTTTTATTATTACGCACTTATATAAAGTAAATATTCCCGTATATTCTCCATTGTTGCAGAAAAAAAAATAATCTAGTTGGATGCTTTCAGCATACTTTCGCAGATATATTGCTTGCGATGAATTCAGTAGTAGCTCGAATTTGACGGCATAGCTGCTTCAGCGCGAAAACACGCTTTTCTTTCGGAGCTTCACGATAAACTACACACGTATGTACAAATACTTTCAATTGAATTTGTATCAGGTGATCTAAGGCAAGAAGGTGATCTAAAATAGGTGAAGTTGATCTAAAATATATACACTATTTTCGTTACTCCTTAGCTTTGGATCGCTGCCGAATTAACCACGACAATGGAGATTGGGCAATTTATCAAGTAAATGCGTAACAGCACACAAAATGCGCCTCTCGGTCTTGTACTCTTCCCTACGAAATAATAACTTTCGTCCGGCGGTCACGTGTGATAGATTGTAATAATTATCGACAGAATAATAATTCTTAAGTGCACGTTGCGATTACAACTAATTATAACGGATATCAATTAAGTAACAAACGACATTATGTGACTAGCGATTCATCACGTAACTTTAGTTTTATTCTTCCTAAAGGCTGGAAAGTGTAACTTTCTGCGCCTTCGTTTAAGCTCGTCGTTGTCGGCGGTAGAATTGGAATCGGTCGAGAGCGTCTCGTCGTCGACTGACATTACCGTAGGTAATTCTCGAAGTGGTTTCTTCACGCTCGTCGTCGTAGCAGTCGACGCTATCGCGAGACGATAGCCGCCGGACCTATCTGAAATGTCGAGCGAATTCTCCGAGTATGACGTCTTCGGCAAGAACGATGAGGTAGTTCTGTCCTCGTTGAGCAGCATGTTTGTGTCCTGGCTGTAAGAACGTACAATGCCACCGGCATTCTCTTTGCACGTTATGATCTTCCCAGAAACTCCAGGGGTCGGCGATTCGTCCGAGCCATCACCCAGCACGAAGTGGACACCTTCAGGCTGCATCTCCTTATCCGCCTCGCTGCTCGACGAATCCGGCGGTGCCGATGACTCCTTCCACACCAGGTTGTCCAAAATACCTACGGATATGTCAAGTAATATCCAATGTGTACGTTCCTCTTTCCTTATCGCATTACTTAACAAGGGGCAATATGGGGTGCAAACTGCAAAAAGTGTGAAGCAAAAGTCACTCTAGCTTATTGTGCATCGCCACAATACATAAGCGGGAAAGTTCTCTCCGAACTCTCGTGCATCGCTTTGACGCATCGCGAAGAAGACTGCGGGAGGCAACATCGTAGATACAGCCTTCTCTACTTCACACTAGTTCCGTAGCTATATTAAAATGCACATATTTTGCGTGACGTAAAAACTTGCGGGACAAAACGAAGCGTGATTCATCGTTCGACTATGTGCAGAATTACGTTCCATGACATTTATTTGCCCCGTCAATATACGCGTATATACGCATGTAACGTGGAGCATCAACTTCACTACGGTCAATCACCGAAACTGTTCGTGTTACGAGATAAAATTCCAATGATCAAAGCTCATTAATTGTTTCACAGCGCTAGCTATTGGCGCAATTCCGCTTCCTAAATTTCTTTATATAAACTGTGAGCTCTGTGCAACGTTTGTTACAATTGCAGAGTTGCGACCGCCAATTATAACATGGCGTAACTCTGATGATGAATCTAAGCTTTAAATCACTACACATAAACTCACGTTCGATTTATTCTTGTTTTAACATTATTTGAGTTTTAACTTTAAAATGCGCACGTCTAGACTTTATAGAATCGGAAACATGCAACAAATCGGAACACTCGAGTTCGGAATAGGTCATATTAACAAGCCCACATATTCTTATTTTTTTCACAAGCTTGTGTAAGAGTTTATTAATAGAGATTAATAAATATCTTGTACAGAAAAATAACGTCGTCGTGTAACGTAATCTTTATAAAATAAAAAGTGGACTCACTGTAATATACATATACGCATACGTTTCAAGACATCAATGTTTCCTCGACAAATATTTAATTGCAGAAAGGTACATATATAATTTACAAAATCATTCAGGAGCAATTCATGAGTCACAGTTAAAAGTAATGAGCAATATATAATATTTTTAACTAGATATTTTCCATTTTACAATTAAGACAGCAATATTTATTATTACATTTCCAACATATCATGTGTCTTCAAACGTAAAAGAGTGCAAGTCAACTTATAACGAGATATGCGTATGGTAAAAAAAATACAAAGTATTTCCCGAATATTGAATTCAATTATTATTAATAAAATAAATTCTGTATATATATCTACATATATAATGTCTGTAATACGTTGATTGTCGATGAGTTATATAAACTATTCGTTGTATTATATCAACAAATATACGTCCAGTTGCGCATTTCGCGATAATCTGCCTCACGATTGTAAAATCCGTAAAATCTATGTTACACTTATAAAAACAACATATCAATATTTATAATTTTGTACTTTGTGTCGTGTTGACATAATTAATATTTCAGATAATAATCGAGTCATTTTTGTGCTATTGTCATATACGTTGCAATCAAAACTAAAACAACTGTCATAATGCCATGAGCAAATAACAGGAATGTAATTGTATAATTAAAAGAAAAACCTAATTTACAAACACATCGTATTTTTGCGTCTAAAAATTGTCTTTCATTATATCACATGATTAATCTTTCATTTTATCTAGTATATTTTATGATAAAAATACATAATTTCTATTTTATCACATGTTGGAAGTGTGATCATATCAAATCACAAATTATGTAAAAGAGATATAACTCTTAAGGGAGCATACTATTTCTAAAAAGTATGCTGTTCAGCCATTTTTATAGAGTTTTTAGAGTATATTTTTTAAGGTACAAACAATAATTTGTACAATATATATATATATATATATATATATATATATATATATATATATATATATATATGTGAGTGTGTGAGTGTGAGTATGAATGTGTATGTGTTATTTGGCAACTTTCATTTATTCTATGCATCGATCATTTATCAATTCAATATTATTTGTCACAGCATTATTTTGGTCCCTTTTCTAGCTTATCCTAAATACAAATAAGTAATGGAACATGGATTTTTCATCTTTACTGTATCTTCTACTAATATATATAAGTAACTTCTATAAATATTATAGCTGAATATGGTCTTCCCATATTTTTTCATAAAATGTTAAATTTTGTACTAAAATGGCATATATTGGTACTGTAATAGTACCATCTATTACTATTTCTCCATCTCGATCTAATTGTTATAGATTGACATATATGAATATAAGTATTTTAAATCTGCCTTAAGCAGGTATCACCAATTTTGCTGTGTTCTAGTAACGACGTGTATTTAAGGCATATATTTTAATGTTAACAAGTTATGGAAATTCTGCAATGTTATAAATTTGTTATTAGCACAAAATTATATTAATGCCACAAAAAGTATTCCTTCTCTACATTAATATTAACCACAGAAACTCTCTCATTAGTTAATTATTATCAGGTCAAGTTCAATGCCGTGTGTGTATCAGATGTCCCATTTTAAACTATAAATATATATATTCTCCAGAAAGAAGTGCTTTTTAAAGCATTAAAGGAGAGAAACATTACGATATGCTGAAGAAATGTTATTCTAGAAGTACGAACGCCAAAGATATTTTAAAGTTGTTTTTAGTTTCCTGCTCATTTTTAATAGAACTTTTTAAACAGTCTTTTCTTCATTGTATTTAAAAATCTTTAAAATATTTTGTAAAGTCATAAAAAAGTAGTTTTTGCCACTAATTTCTAAATATACAAATTTACAGATTCGAATAGAACATCCATATTATATATATATGTATGTTCATGTTGCATATAATATATGCAACACAGATGAACAGGCCACAATAGTATTTAAGAGCAATATGATCATTGATATGTCAATCTTCTAAGTACTCATGTGAATCCGTATCCAGCTTACCTGCAGCACCGATCGAAGATGGTGTGTACACAGAACTCGCCTCATCATCTAAATCATCTTGGCTGCTGAGTCGTCCTATAATAAAATATATATGTCATTTAGAATTTTGTAAAATTACAAAAGAGCTTACAAGCATTTTCTATTCTACTTTAAAATACAAATTTTCTTGCAAAAAAGAATTACAAAAAACAAGTGCTTTAGCTCAGTGTAAAATATATATGTGAAATGCTTTATATATTTTCGCGTTAAATTAATAAAAATGTATTGTCCTACTCCATAAATATGATAGAGAAAAATCAAGCGAAATTTATAATAGTGATTTTAGAATGTAGATATGTCAATATACACACATATAGATGTTAGTAAACGTCGCTTTTTATAATAATGGTGTATTTTATTTTAATATAATATTAAATTACCTCTCAATCCAAGACCTCTACCATTGGGTGTCCCTCTGTACAAAACAGTTTCTAAATAGTTTAATCCATTATTGTTGATTATATTAAAACCGCAGAGAAGTTCAATCTGCTTCCAACGATGTACTCTCTCCTGCAACTCAGCTGTCACTTCATTCAGCGCAGTTCGTGCTTCAACTATGCTCTTGTCAACTTCATCGATGGATTTCCCATGAGTGGATACAAAAGCACCCACCAAGCTGGAACGTTTCTTCCGCAATTTTTCGCACTATAAAATAATAGATAAAATTAGTTGATAAAATTTGTTTCTAATAGAGAAATATTTATTCCGTTCTAATTTGATAAATTATGAAACAAAATATGAGTTATGCAATCTCATATCTTAGATTATTTTATATCAAGAAATTTTGGATAGTTATTACCGCTTCTCGTGCTTGTTGAAGTTGCTTCTCAGCTGCTATTTTCTTTTTTGTATATGCTTTGTTTTCAATTTCATGAGTTAACTGTAACCAATGTTGTAAACCAGCCGGTGGTGACCAGCACCTATCTTCAAGTTCACCTTCCGCTCGTTGCAATTCTAACTTCAACATCTGCAAGATATATATGTACAAATTAATTAAAATAAAATATACATCATTTTACCGTATGCATGTATGTAAACAAAAAATGTAAAAAAAGGATATTTACTTCAATTTCTGCTTTTAATTGTGATACTTCGAGGTCCGAATAAGAAGTGTGTAATCCTAAGCTTTCATCTTGTAAACGTTTTTCTAGATTCTCTTTTTCAGTAGCTGCACTCTCTTGTTCCATTCTTGCTCTCTCCAGTTCTTTCTGTAATTAATTATAATATAATGTTAATAGAACGCTTACTATAATAAGGGACATTTATTGCTAATCTTGTTAAAATTAATATATCTTACAGATTGATTTAAAGAAAAATACCTGTAAATTTTCCAATGCAAGTTCTGCTTTATGCAAACTTTCCATATCTTTCATCATCCTATGAAGATGCTTCTGTGAGTTTTTCTTTTGTTGATACGCATACCAGCATCCAATAAGTGCTCCGAATAACAACGTGACCAAGACCAAGTCCTTAATACTATGTCCAGCATCTATTAATAATTAAATGTAGTTAAGTCTAAGACAATTCTATATTTACACATATCTTGATATAATATTAAATAATTACTACAGATACCTTTAGGAGGTCCGAAAAGAACAACATCCATCGCTTTTAAGGCAATTTTTTGTTTATGAATTGGATCTTTGATACCCAAAACATTGCTAAGGTATTGCATATTGTTCACAGCCAATCTAAAATAAATCACTCAATAATTGTATTCACAGTGGCAGATTTATTTATAAAAAAGTTATATACAAAACTTTTCTACTAGAGAATATCATTTTAGAATAATAAACTCACCGAGGAAGCGTGGCACCTGTTACACGGTGCTGTATGAAAGTAGGAACATATTGTGGAAGCTCAACATTGGAAGTTAACCATTCTGATGTTTGTTCTATAGTCCAATTGTGAACCTAGCATTTTAAAATATCATATAAAAACTTCTATCTTAGCATTTATAATGTTTTCAATATGAAAAGATTCTATTGCATTACTTCTGATCGTAACCAAGCCTCCCAAAGTTCTCGTACACTGATGTGCATATCATCATTGTGATGGAAAGCCCTTTGTCTCCGTTCGTAACCAGCCTCATATTGCAACTCTTCCCTTAGAAACTGTCAGAATTAAAAGTACATTAACCTTGCAGTATTGTATATATAAATATTGTATATGTTACCACATAATTATTCTTACATCATCAGATTCAGATAGATCAACATTTCCATTAGCATCATCATCCAGTTGACTGTGGAGAGATTTAATAGCTTCTAAGCCTAGTCGATCATGAGAAGCCATCGTGATACAAGCTAGATCATCATTACAGGTATCCATAGCTGAAAGAAGTTTATTAAATACATGGAATATTAAATGTACAATTATACATTTGTGTAAGCAATGTATTGATATGTAACATACAATACTAAGTCTATTTTTTTTCAAAAAATGTTTGCAACTAGTACACATTGGTGTATACTATAAGTTGGCTATAAGTTGGAGCAAAACAGATATACACTTATTTCACTCCAGTTTATCGCACCAGTATACACCAATTCAGGAAGTTCCTCAAAAAAGGCCTCATGTTTGCGTTTACAAAACACTTCAAGTGATAGATTAAAATGACAACTCACTGGATTCATGAGCCACTGCCTGGGCCAGTCCATTGGTGAGAGTGGCGGTGAATGCTGTTATCTTGGAATGTGAAGTGCTCGAAGCACCGGTTTGGAAGGTTGGGGTAGAATCGAGAGCTCCGCCACTAGCCGCTACCGTTTCGAAGGACCAATAAAATAGATGAATTCCCAGTAGTATAAGCGCATCAACGTTCACGGATGTTCGCATTTTAGGTTAGCTCCAGCTTCCTAACTAACACCTCGTGCCTCTCTCGCGCGGTCCAACAAATCCGCGAACTCAGCGGAATTGCAGCCGAAAACTCCCAACTCTTTTGGCCCTCTTCTCACTTTCGATGCTAATTCGCAATCGTAAATATATTCAAGGTTACAATTATCGAACCCGGGCTGACAATAGTATATCTCGACGAGCACATAACAAGCGTGACCGATTATGAGTAAAACAGCTTCATAACTATGTCGCACGTTAATATTATTAGCTCCATAAAAGCAGGTTCGAACTTAATCCGGGATACATGAGAATATTTGATTGCTCGTTAAATGAGTCAAATTAAGTACACTGCTGTCCCAAATCAGATGTTTTATCAAGGCCACTAACAGCGTTTCCGACTCGCACGATCTTGATTGGAACGTTTTAGATCTGCGATTAAGACCAATTCTCATGTGTGCTCATCCTCACGGTTATCATCCGCATGGCTGATCCGCGCAGATAATAATTACGGAAAAATACTGTCTCACGGAAATGGATATTAATTACCGCGCCGTGCACGTATACATATGCGTGTTCGCAGGAGACTGAGTAATAGTCGTAAAATTATTAACACTGTATTGTAGGGTGATCCGTTCGAGCATTTGTGCCGGATGGCCGGAAAACGGTTGGTAATGTCGGCATTCTCCTATTATCACCGGATTCCCCGGCAGTCACGTAACTCTCGTGAGACCGTCGGTCTTTAATAATATTTCGTCGGTGACGATAGTCTTACCATAGAATGATATAATACAAGTATACCGATGTGTCCGCGAGGACTGTAGTTCAGAAAAAAAGAAAGCTACTCGTTCTTTACGCAGATAATGGGTTCACGCATATTGTACGAAAATATTTACTGTTTGTAAGGAAAAGCTATGATGATGTTAAATGTGACAGAGAGACCACGGGAGATAATTCTAACGTAATTTTACTTTGAGTCGAGTAGTCTAGTGTTTTGACGCGCATAGAAATGGCGGATGTTATATTTATCACGCATTTCGTACTCTTGTTGACATTCAAATTATGTACAGGTATGGGAATAAAATGCTGTAAATTATAAACGAACACATCGTATGACGTACTCCAAATAGAATTTAAATATCTACATTATTATTATGTTCAAATTTGTAGTCTTAAGTATCTGTTGCTTAACTCTGACATTGTTGGAGTCTACTTTTGACATTCCAAGTAATATGTTTGTAATATATAGAATATCCTAGAATTATATATTGCGTTTCTTTTCACTAATTCTTATTACGATTATCACTCGGTTGATGTGTTAAACGTTTGTTTTTGCTATATTTTACTCAATATATCTGTATACAGTTCAATTCATTTTCCAGGCGAAGAAGATATTATTGCATTACAGGAACATGATATTCCTTTTGATAACGAGGAATCAAATCTGTCTGAACCATTAGATCGTAATTTTGGCAGCAGTACAATTGGCCAAAAACATATTAAGTGCCATGTATGTGAAGATGCCGAATGTTCGCCACCTGACATCTGCGATAATGCAATCATTGTAAAGATTTTTATATTCTGTGTAGTCTTTTACATCAAATTTTTCTTTACATAGTCACAATATTTTTAAGATTATATCTTATAATCAATTTGTCTTATTTTGCTTGACAGTGCTGGAAATCTAGGGTAAGACAAGTAGATGGCACAGAGTATGTTAAACGTGGTTGTTATACATCAGAGGATCATAGGATGCTTACGTGTAATAGAGAAGAAAACCAAAATGCTGAACATGCAGAGGGGCATATTAGAAATTTGCGAGGTGGTGCTCAATATTCTGTAGAATGTTGTCAAGAAGATTTTTGTAATGTTGGACCATATCCTGTATTACATGATTCAAACAGTAAGACATTCCAATATATATATTCTACATTTTATTAATATTTTAATTTTTTTGCTCTGAATTTTATCTTTTACCCACATAACATATAAGGCATGTAATGTATTTTTAATATCAAAACATAAAATAACTAGCAGATACAAACTAATATAATGTATTGATTTTATAAATTTCCAACAAGATGCTTATGGTACTTTTGTAATAAAATTTCTGTAAAGTTGCATAAAATTATGGATAACGATAAGAAAATGAATTTGTTAAAAATAGTGTTTATGTATATTGTTCTTAGATTCCAGTAGGGGGTACTATGTACTGAAATTAACGTTCGCGATTCTTGGATCGGTGGCTGGATTATTCATCGCCGGAGGGTTCCTCTTATGCTTATTAACGCATCGATTGCGAAGAAAAGAGTCAATGGCGCCACATCAAAATGAGCTAATGATAGACTCCGACATCGAACCTTCCATGTTGCATTTTTCATTTCCTTCTTCAGCGCCATCCGCCTCTTATCATCCGCACGAACTTAGAGCAACTGCCGCCGGTGACAGTACGCTTAAAGTACGTGGCAGTATCTCTTTATGTCTCTGTCATACACAACATTTATATAATGCAAATATGAATTAATTTAATTGATCTTGCACACAAGTAAAATATTATATTTTTTTTAGGAGTACTTAGATGGCCGGAGCCTAACTAGTGGCTCTGGTTCTGGATTACCTTTGTTAGTACAAAGGACCTTAGCCAAACAAGTAGCTCTAGTAGAGTGTCTCAGTAACGGTAGTAGCGGTTTCGGTGGTGAAGTGTGGCGAGGTGTTTGGCATGGCGAAAGTGTAGCTGTAAAAATTTACTTTTCACGAGACGAAGCTGCCTGGGCACGAGAAACCGAGGTTTACTCTGAACTCTTACCGTCCAGACACGACAATATTCTGGGATACGTCGGTAGCGACATGACCAGCAGAGGCAGCTGCACCCAACTTTGGCTAGTGACGCACTATCATCAGCTCGGCTCGCTTTTCGAACACCTCAATCGATCGCCACATCCGTTAACACATCATCAAACGCTCAATATCTGTGTCGGCATCGCTAATGGTTTGCTTTATTTACATACGGAGATCCACGGTACCAGAGGTAAGCCAGCCATGGCTCACCGTAATCTCAAGTCGAAGAATATACTGGTTAAGACCAATGGTGGTTGCGTGATCGCCGATTTCGCGTTAGCGACTACACAAGATCGCCTCTCGGCGGAAAGAGTCGACTTACGTCAAGGAACGAAGCGTTACATGAGCCCTGAGATTCTTGAACAAACGTATGTATGAACTCAACTGAAATTTTTACTTTACATCAGTCTTATACAAGTCATCTACAAATGTCAAAAGTGTTTTTGGATATATTTTAGGATGAACGTTGAATGTTTGGAGAGCTTTAGACGAGCAGACGTCTATAGTTTAGGACTGATATTGTGGGAAGTTTGCCTCAGATGTATAAGTAATGGCGTAGTCTTAGAGTATGCGATGCCATACAGCGAATGGTTATCAAGCAGTAATCAAGAGCCCTCCATAGAAGAAATGCGTAAATTAGTCGTATTCGATCAACGAAGGCCTCCTCTTCCTAATAGGTGGCATTCTGACCCGGTAAAAACCATTCTTTTCATTTAGTAAGGCTAAAAGTATAAATGAATTAAATTCCAATACCATCGCCTGTTATTATTAACGTTTAAATATTTAATAATATAATTATTTCTATTACAGACATTGGCTGGGATGGGGAAACTAATGCGGGAATGTTGGCATGGAAAACCAGCAGCCAGACTACCCATTCTCAGGGTAAAGAAGACACTCGTTAAATTAGCAGCTAGTGATTCTCGTGTTCACTTACCTCTCGACTGACCAGCGTTCTTCACTTTATTGAAATCCCTTTCATCCGTGTATTTATTACTGCTGCTTCAGCAATCTATCATGCACATTATAAGTTCGATCATCATCATCGACATCCATACGTTATCAAACTGTTATATCAGAAGAAATATGAGAGAATATCGTATATTGACATATCGAAGCAACGATATTAATAAGTTTGTTAATGTTTGGCGTATGGATTTTGTTGCATTACATTCTGTCATTGTTGTAATCCTGGAACGATGATAGTTTAAGTATACAGATTCGCATTGATCAAACTAAACGTTCAGATAGATATTGTTAACTCTACAGTGGCAGGCGATTGTTCAAAGTTATTTAAAAAAATTAGTTTTAAAAAATATCTATAGAAATGTTTCATATGTAATTTTCGTAAAACGTAGGTTGACAATTCGCCGTTATTTGCAATTAATTTCTTCCAAAAACCACTGTCGTATAATCGATGTATTTTTAAATTTCTCCTTTTACTTAGTGATTAAGATTTTACTGGAAGTGCGCTACATGTAACATACTGTTAAGATTTCTGTTTTACCTCGTTGCGATCATCTTAACCTCTTGACTGTGTGGCGAAAATGAGACTTCCGTGCCACCAGTGTGTGAAAAAGTTTCACACATTTCCGCTATTCCGATTTTAGTATTAAGGTTTTCAAGGTTGCTAAATCTGAATGTGATATCAGAATCCGTCATTTTAAATTTTAAAATTTAAACATATTTGTATTCAGTGACCTCGAAAACTTTAGTACAATCATTTTTATAAAAATCCAATTATTTTTTCAACTTTTGACACGCCATATTGGATCTATTATTTTGAATTTTGAGCTTCTGATATTATATTCGGATTCAGAGATCTCAAAAACTGTGAGATACCAAGCTTCAATACAAGTCGCAAAAGGATAAATCGGTTTTTTTTAAGATATATATATATATGTACATTACACACTGGTGGCACGTGCTTTTTCTATACACATATGCTACATATATACTCAAGGGGTTAATTGATAGTGTCGAGTATGAGAAAATATACCTTCAAAATTCTTACAAAATATGTTGAAACAAAAAATATATAAAAAAAATAACATCCGCGATCAATACAGCAATCAACATCAACAAATTTGTAAAATAGCCTAAAAACTTTCTCTTTGCTCCAATGATCGATAAAAAAAGCCATAAAATTAGTGATACAACCATGTAATTAAAAGGTTAATCAATATATGAGAAGTTAATCATGTATTGTTAAAAGATTAACATATCACATTCATTTCACGACTATTTATTATTAGAGCAAAAGGAAAATTTTTGAACCATTTTGCAAAACTGTTCAATCGATTACAAGTGTCATTATATATATATATATATATATATATATATATATATATATATATAT